ATTCCGATGCCTGACCAGAAAGATAATCCTTCCTGCTCTTCAGCACAGGTAAGGCCTGTGGAGAGCTGGGCCCAGTGCTGGGAACAGTCCTGGGAGGACAAGAAACACTCTCTGTGAAGGCAGATGATCTTGTGTGGGCTGGGAAAGGAAGTCTGAGGGCATCATAATGTGACAGGCTCCAAAGTGTGAAAGGCTTCTGAAACCAGGAAACTGTTCACCTGTGCTCCTTGTCCATGAGAGATGTGAAAGCAGCGACAAGATTGCAACAAAACAGAGAGAACAAAAGGGTTTCTAATGATGAAACCAGAAAAAAAAAATAAAAAAAATAGAGGAGACATTGCCTGAGAAGGTGGATATAAAACAAAGCCCACTGGAAGGGGAGGATGCAACAGGGCCCTCCTTGGGGCTGCACAGGGACCCACGGGGGCTCCCTGAGGACCTTCCTTCCTGCACCTGTGTCGTTACACTTTTCAAACGAGCTGAAATGCTGTGCTTGCCTCTTTTATCCTGTTCCAGAGCTGGCATGAGAAGAAACCACCAAGCGATGTCTCCTTTGTCTGTCAGCCAAAGGCAATAAACCCAACAGGGCCCGAGTGGCTCAGCTTCCCCCATCACAGGAGTGTTTGGGATTGACACCCACGGCCACCGGCGCACGCATTGTCTTCCCTCTGCCTGTGTGCTGGAGATAGAGCTGCTCCTCTCCCACCTTGGAGCAGCACCAGCTTCTGTTTCTTTCTTCTACGACGTCACCCACGCAGTTGTATTCAAACTTACCAGAAGACAAACTGTAAATATTGGGGTATGTTTAGGTCAGTAAATACCTGTACCAGTAACAAAGGGGTGACTCAGTTGCAGTTCACAGAGAGGGCCAAAATGGTTACACTGAGGTGTGGTTACACAAATAACTTGCCTTTAAAATGTTTCCCTGTCAACTGTCTGAGCAGCAGTAACAATTTCTCATGGAGTAAATCTGACTCAGGCTCAGAAATGCCCGGCAATGCTCTCCCCCCTCAGCATCGTGTTATGGCCGTGAATTATCTTCTCCAGGCTCAACCCTAACAGGTCAGGCAGTGATGGAGCATCCCAAGGACAGGCTGAGGGAGCTGGGGCTGTTCAACCTCCAGAGCAGACACTGAGGGGACCTCCCCCAGGTCTGGGGGGTCTGCAGGGAGGGGGCAGAGGATGGCCCAGGCTCTGCTCGGGGGGGCCCAGCAATGGCACAAGAGGAAGGGGCAGGAACTGATGCCCAGCAAGTTCCACCTGCACAGGAGGAAGAACTTCTTGGCTGGGCAGTGACCCAGCCCTGAACAGATTGTCCAGAGGGGGTGGAATCTCCTCCCTGGGGATATTCCAGAGCCATCTGGACACGACCCTGTGCCACGTGCTCTGGGCAGGCAGGTGGGACCAGACGGGACACTTTGGGCCCTTCCAGCCTCACCCATCCTGGGATTCTGGGATTCTGAGAGCCTGAAATCACTGCTGTGCCCAGAGTACGTGGAGGACCTCGTAGTGACAGCAGCCAGGAACATCTTTGTGCAGCAGTGTGGCTGGAAAGCCTGTCCTCTCCTCAGGCACCTCTGTCATGTGTCTCACACCCAGAGGGCTGAGGGCACAGACCTTTGCCTCCCACAGTTTCAAATCCTCCTCCCTGGGTACACTGCTCTGACCACTGAGGAGCTGGTTGCTTTGAGGGGGTGGGAAGTGAAAGGTGAACCCCCGACTTTACCTTCCCGAGCCCTGCAGCTGGGCATGAAAAACACGAAACAAAAAAGGAGAAGATGAGCTCTTCAGTCTTATGATCACACTTCTGGCTGCCAAAAAGGGAGCTGGGTCCAAGCCCAACTTCAGGGGCTGTAACATTCATTTAATATGCACTGAGCATTCAATCAAACAGGGCAGGAACAGGGCACTGGATGGGCTTTATGGTCCCCTCCAACCTCCAAAAATTTGGGATTATATAAGACACCAGGTGGGAGCTGTGCAGCCACTCACCCTGCCCTGCACAAACCAGGACACTGAGCACCAACCCTGCCAGCCCACACTGACAGCAGGGTTAGTTTGTGTTCCTTGGCCCACAGCCAGCACCCGAGGCTGTCGAGAGCGGAGGCAGTGTGGGCAGCCCTGCCCAGCCCCTGGTTCCTGCCCACTCAAGGGCTCAGCCTGGCCTTGGGACAACCTGGGACAGCTGAGGGACAGCCCCATGTGCTGGGTGACTGTCCTGACCTGCTGCCCTGTCACAGAGTGGGGCAGGGCTGGTGGAACCTGGAAACACCCACAGTCATGGGGCTTTCCAGAGCTCAGTGCCCAACCTCGCTCCCTCTGCCTCTACCTCTGCCTGAACCGGCACCTCAGTGCCCTCGGGCTCATGGGCTGATTCTTAGAACAGAATCATAGAACTCCAGAGTGGTTTGGGCTGGGGGGACAGTAGAGATCATCCAGTGCCACCCCCTGCCATGGGCAGGGACACCTTCCACCAGCCCAGGCTGCTCCAAGCCCCGTCCAACCTGGCCTGGGACACTTCCAGGGATCCAGGAGCAGCCACAGCTTCTCTGGGCAACCTGTGCCAGGGCCTGCCCACCCTCCCAGCCAGCAATTCCGTCCCTATATCCCCTCTAAATCTGTTCTCTTTCAGCTTAAAGCCATTCCCCTTGTCCTGTCCCTCCATCCCTTGTCCCAAGAGTCTCTCCAGGTCTCCCTGGAGCCTTCTCTTCTCCAGGTGAACCCCCCCAGCTCTCCCAGCCTGTCCCAGAGTGGGGTCGCTCCAGCCCTGGCATCGTCTCCGTGCCCGCTGGGTTTGTGCCACGGGCTGTTCCCTGCAGGGAGGGACAGGAGTTGGACTCCACCATCCCCTCGCATCCCACGAACTCGGGATATTCGGTGACTGCGACAGCTCCCTCTGTCCCCGCGGGACGGACGGGCTGGCTGCGAGCTCGGTCACACCAACCCGCCCCCCGGTCCGCCCCGTCCCCCGCCCCGCGATCCGCCCCGGGCCGGCCCCTCCACGGCCCGGTCCGCCCCCTCCATCGGGCCCCGGCCCAGGCGCTGCCGGACGGGCCTTCCGGCGGCGGAGCGGGCGGATGGAGCAGCGGGGATGGAGCAGGACGGAGGAGCAGCGGGGATGGAGCAGGACGGAGGAGCTGAGGGATGGATGGAGGCAGGAGCTGAGCCCGGGGAGGCCGGAGCGGCGCTCGGCCGTGCCGGGCGGGGGCTGGAAGGGGCTGCTGTGCCTCGTCCTGGCCGCGCTCCCGCTGCTCTGCGCGGGTGAGTCCCGGGGAGCCCGGAGCGGATCGGGGGGGCTGGCACGGCCGGGATGGCTCGGCCCGGCCCGGCCCGGCTCGGCTCGGCTCGGGGGCTGGTGTGTTCCCCTGTCCCCAGCAGTTTGTGCCGCTCCCGGCGATGGGGACGCCGCTCGGCGGGCCCGGGGCGGTGCCGGGCTGTGAGAGCGCGGCTCGGAAATGTCGAGTTTACGGGGGTTTCGTAGAATCCCAGACGGGTTTGGGTTGGGAGGGACCTTAAAGCCCACCCAGTGCCACCCCTGCCATGGGCAGGGACACCTTCCACCAGCACAGCGTGCTCCAAGCCCCGTCCAACCTGGCCTGGGACACTTCCAGGGATCCAGGGGCAGCCACAGCTTCTCTGCCCAACCTGTGCCAGGGCCTGCCCACCTTCCCAGCCAGCAATTCCTTCCCAATCTCCCACCTAACCCTGGCCTCTGGCAGTGGGAAGCCATTCCCTGTGTGGTGTCCTGGCGACATCCTGCCCCCCTCCTGCCGTCCCACTCTCCTCTCCTCATCCCCACTCGGGGCTCTGCCACGCTGAGGCTTTCACGCTGTTCAAAACTCGTTTGCCCCGCACTTCATTCACCCACCTCACACACAGCTCACCGGCAGCGGCTGGGAGAGCTGAGGAGGAGGCAAAGGCAGAGCTGACCTGAGGCCTCCTCTTATGCCCTGGAGCAGCAAGAAACAGCTACTGCACAAACCCTTTTGTTTAAAGGGGAACTCGTATAAAATACAAAGCTGGCAAGGAGGGAGAGGGAGTTCTGCATGGGCAGGGAGTGACAGGACAAGGGGCAATGGTTTTAGACTGAAGGAGGCCAGGGTTAGGTGGGATATTGGGAAGGAATTGCTGGCTGTGAGGGTGGGCAGGCCCTGGCACAGGTTGGGCAGAGAAGCTGTGGCTGCCCCTGGATCCCTGGAAGTGTCCCAGGCCAGGTTGGACGGGGCTTGGAGCAACCTGGGCTGGTGGAAGGTGTCCCTGCCCATGGCAGGGGTGGCACTGGGTGGGCTTTGAGGTCCCTCCCAACCCAACCCAGTGAAATGATGCACCACCACAGCCAGGCTGGGATTCTGCTTATGGAATTCAAAGCAATTCCCTGCTGCAGTGCCCTGTCACCTGCTGTTTGGCAAACCCAGCAGTTCTCTCTGCTGCTCCTGGATAAAGCTGTGGCATTCCATGGATTTCTAGAGCCTTTCCTGGGGTCACATGTGCTGGGCCTCCCCTTCCTTCTTCTGCTTCGAAACGCTGACTTAGAGTTTCCACTGGTTCCTCCACGCCTTTGTGTCATAAATGTTGAGCATCATGTGCTGCTCCCTGGGATTTCCCCTGCGCCATCTCCCCAGGGGGTGTCTCTGTGTTGCCAACGCTTGCTTTCTTTTGGGGTTTTTTTAATATATTTTGTTATATAATCGTTGTTTTCAACCATATTTATTAACAGTATTGCTTTAAATATTATGAGTTAAGTAGTGCTGTTTGTTGATTGGAACAGTTTATGTGTTTATTTTGGTTTATTGCAATTTGGCAGGGGAAGGAAGTGAGCAGTTGGGTAAAAGCATTTCTGCTCTTTAATCTCTTCTTTCCATACAAGTCTAATCCCTTAAAATGGTTTCCTCAGCAACAAAGTGTCATCATGCTCTAAGTGAACAAACAGGAATAATTTTAAATATCTGGCTTTTAATCATTAATAAAATAAACCTAAGGAGTCTTGATTTTAGCTATTACTTTGCATATCTGGTTACTGTCTAAATCGTTGAATTTCTTGCTAATTAAGCAGAGAAATTCATTCCTGGTTAGTTATTCCTTGGGATTTAAGAAATTATTTTGGGGAAGCAAACACAAAACTTACTGAAAACAGGGAAATGTATGAAAGGATGGGTGGGTGGATCACATAATCATGTCTTTAGTACTGAGAACCAGTGCCATGTTAAATCAACCTGAACTTCTGCTATTCTAAAATAAAAGGAGTTCCAATTCCCTCTATTTTGGTTTACTGTTAGTGTAGGATGGGGAAATATCCTGGCAAAGTGGATAAATCCTGCAGGAAGCAGATGCAGGGGTACTGAACGAGGAGCTGGGCAGGGCTGGGAGAGGATGGCAAAGACTGGTCAGAATGTCAGGTCTGGCAGAAACTTCTACAGAAAATTCCAAGACATTGCTGTGTTGCATCTTTTTTTTTTGGGGGGGGGGGGTGTTTTTCTGTAGAAAGCCCCAGAGGTATTGGGGCAGTGCTAATTAGAAGGGAAAGGTTGTGTGTCTTATAAATTAGCCTTACATGAATTCATTTCAGCTGGATTATTCTGATTTTTTCTTTACACTGCTTCAAGCAAGTTCAACCATTTGGAAAGAACAGACAAGAGAGCAATAAAATTCCTTCAGGAAGCTGGAAGTTCAGCTCAGAAGGAAAACTTAAAGAGTTGTTGCTGCCATTCAAGTTTTCTCTTCGTTATGAGTCATATTTAATATAGTTTTTAAATATGTCTGGCATAAAAAGTCATGTGCTTTAGTAACAAGAGACAGAAGGGACAGGGGGTGGAACTGGATGAGCTTACAGGTCCTTCCCAGCCAAACCATGGGATTCCATGAAGTCTGTAATGAATTTATATAATGGCATTAAATTTTCTGGTTTACTCCCTTAATTCCATATAAATGTATAACTTTTTGGCCCCCCTTTTTGACTCGTGCTGAGCACTGGCTGCAAGTGCTCACATTTACTGAGCACAATGCTGACCAGTGTAGTGAAAATTCCCTGGGAGCTGAAGGGCTTTGCCTGAATCACCGGCACAAGTTGCTTTTGATGCTGTAGTGGGTGTTAAGTTGATTTTACGGGTGATGCCTCTGAAGAGCTCGTTTCTGTTTGTTCATGTCCTGCCCCGTGCCACTGAAAGCGGCTCTTCCTGCCTGGTTTCACCTGCTCTGGGGAGGATTAAAAGGGGATAAATGCCAAGGTGGAGCCCAGCCTGTTCAAACTGGCACGAGGAAGCTCTTGGAGAACTTCCCTCGACCTGAGAGCTGTGACCGTCGTCTCTTGGGCCTTTCACCACAGCAGTTCTGCAATGAATCCCTCCTAATTTGCTTAAAATGATTGGGGGGGATACTGGGAGGGAATTGCTGGCTGGGAGGGTGGGCAGGCCCTGGCACAGGTTGGGCAGAGAAGCTGTGGCTGCCCCTGGATCCCTGGAAGTGTCCCAGGCCAGGTTGGACGGGGCTTGGAGCACCCTGGGCTGGTGGAAGGTGTCCCTGCCCATGGCAGGGGTGGCACTGGGTGGGCTTTGAGGTCCCTCCCAACCCAAACCATTCCAGGATTCCATGATTTTAACTCACTGTGTCTGATCATACTCCCAGACTGGAATAGTGACTCTCCTTCCCCATGTCATATTGTTATTAAAATATCGCATTTTAACGATGCTGTTTGTCTCCAGAGGGAGGAAATGCTGATTTCCAGGGGTATCTACAGCTTTAGAAAGCACTGGCTTAGATTAAAACATTAAATAGATGTCTTACATCAACCTGTTATTTGGTGTGTTTGGTTAGAACACGAACCTTGACACATTTTTCTTCCATTTTTCCAGACGTCCTTTTTCCTCTCTAATAAAAATCACCCCAAAGCTTCCTTCTGTGTAGAAGTTAA